CCTAAAAGATCCATCTTGGGGCCTGATGTGGTAATAATGAGGCATCTCTTTTTAAAGCATCCTACTTCCAGCCTTATGCTTCATGCGAATGGCCCTAACAATTTTTTGCTCGGGATTATAGAATTAATTATAGAATATATTTATCTGTACAGGTAAATGTATTTATATAGATAATACAGATGTGCATAAAAGGATAAGTTAGTGGTGGCAGAACTTTGTCCGAACGATCATCCGTATAATTCTGTGGAAGATAAGAGCAAACATAAACACCGCGCATGCAACGTGCGCGCGAGGCGAGTCGAAGTATTCATCTCCATAAATGCCGTGACGTTGCGAACGCGTTCTCGCTCGTCGTCGTTACGTCGACGCCAAAATTGATCGTCCGCTAATCCATTTATCGCCGGTGGCTTGATTCTATCAGCGCCAGGTGACTGTCAATAATCCGAATCGAGAAGCCTCGCGTAACCGCGATATCTTAGTTTACTAATGGCGCGTCGCACGCCGGATTCCTAAAGCGCATAAAGGGCATTTATGGAGCAATCGTGCCGGGAATGCAACGTATGCCTCGGGAACAACATATTCCCCGGATGGGATCGGCGAGGCGAGTACTGGAAGTAGAAAGGCACGGGGTGCGGCGCGACGGGTGCGACGTAACCGGGTCGCCCAGTCACTCGATCGAAATACTTAAAGGAGCGATCGCTCCGGGATCCCGATATAATGCTCAAGCGGCGTCCTACGAAGATTAATGTTTAAATTGAAAACGTTTCTTGAATTCCGAGGGCGAATCCCGCCCTTAATCGCTTGCGCTCCGAAATAATCGCAGGTACGCTCTCTCGCTTCTCCGCTCTGCGGCGAATAGCGAGAGAGAGAGAGAGAGAGAGAGAGAGAGAGAGAGAGAGAGAGAGAGAGAGAGAGAGAGAGAGAGAGAGATGAAGACAGATAGAGCGAGAGGAAGAGAAGATCCGATACGATCACCCCCGGCCCTCTCTCCCTCTCTCCTTCACCCCTAACCGAAGCCTCATTTAACTTGCCGTCACGATGCCTCCGCGTATGGATACGTAACGCGCGCGTTAAAGCGCGTTAATCGCTAGTTCCGCCTTCTCCTCATCCCCCTCGCTTGTGTGAATTTCATTGAAGGCTTAGCTCACCGTTCGGGGCAGGTTTTTCTCGCGCGTCGGGAAGTGAGCGTTTCCTGCGGACGTAGACGTGACGATTTCGAACGCGTCAAAGAATCCGGCGCTGAAATATTTTCAGCGGATTTCGGACGTCTCGCGTGGCTCTCGCGAGAGAGCCCTCCGTCTACAATTTGCACATCCGGCTCGCTTTTGAGAGCCACGCTAATCGGATTTCGCGAGAGGGAACTTTTTAGAGGTCTTTCGCTCGCTCCGTCTCTTTCTCTCGCCCTCTTCTCTTTCTCTCGAGTGCTCTCTGGCTACGGAGAAGACATCTCCGTCGCGTCGTCTCTCGCTGGATTCGAGTTTAAAGCCTTTGGCACGCACGCGCTCCTCGTGAAAAGCGGCCGCGTGTTTTACCGGCCGATCGTAAAGGTGCGCCGCTCTCTCGGGCGCTTCGCGAGAGTGCAAATGTGAACGTAGACGAGAATGGTATGCCGTCATTGAAGCTTTGCCAGGCATCGCGATCAGATCAGCGGCGCGCGGGGGGTCAGAAAGAAGAGGCATTCGTGGAATCAGTTGGGCGTGAATGGCGCGATATCGCGGCCTGGTGCTCGTGAAAAATCGATTCGGTCTAGACATCGCCTTTGTGATACAGATTTCCGAAGCGGTCATTGGCGCCGCTCGATTGCGCGCGACAGCTTCGCGCGCTCGCCCGTGAATGCTTCCTGCGCGAGACGCGCCTATATCGTATCGTACCTGAAATCCGCTTTACTTTGCGGAAGTTTGTTGTAATACTCTTACGCGCAGGCGTATGACTTTCGTAAATTTTCAGTCTCGGGCTTGCACGTCGAAAGAGAGAGCGCGGCGCTCTTGGAAAATATAAGGATCCACCCCGGAGGGGGCTCGACGTCTCTCGAAGGAGAGAGACTTCGGCGAGGTAGTTTCTCTTAAATATTATCTCGCGTCCGCCGTCGAACGGAGCCCCGATTAATATTCAGTGAACGGGAAAAATGCGAATGCACACGAGACGCAATTCACCGGCGGCGGCGCAGTTCGCCAACTGCCGCCGCTATCGTGTATTTCCAACATATTCCAAACTGAACGTCACCCGGACGGTAACTCGTTAGCATTGTTGACAACCGCCATCGCCGCGGGTGCCTATTCGGAATAGCGTTCCCTCGATTGGTAGTTTCGTAGTAAGACGTGAAGCTTACACTACGTAAAGCTTGCGCGATACGCGGTAAAACAATAGTAGAGTTTCACTCTAATTACCAAAGTCCTACCTTAATGAACAAGAGGCTGAATATTGACACATTAAATCGTTAAAATTATCATCCTGGTGTTCAAAAGATTTCACCTGCCGCTCACATTGTTCATTATAAAATTATCTACGAGGCAAAGTTTGCAGACAAGTAAGATAGTAGTATGAAGGGGCTTCATTGCCTTCCCCCCACGCCCCCCCAAATTCTAAACAAACTTAACTCAATCGAATTTCCATTGCATCATAGCAGTGTTGGCATATTTTATTAAAAGATGTATACATTTTTTAATGATATACCTTTATACCACAGTGATGAAGGTTGAGATTAGATTAGGTTAGGTTAGATTACGCTGGAGGGAGGGTGGGAGGGAGGGAGGAAGCCCTTTCTCTGTACACACGTAAAATTTACACTTCAACATGGCATTGTCGAAATATTGTGCAAATAGCGGTGAAATGGAAATTTAACTAAATACGTTGAGTTTGAGATAATAATGTTAACGACGTTAAATTATTACTCGTTAATGAAAACTCGTTGCGTGAGACGAAAATTTTGCTAGACGCGTTCGTACCGTTTGATTATAATTGTAACGTTAAACCGACGTTACAGCGAGTTTAAACCCTCTTTGTTAATGATTTCTTGATAAACCATGAGCGACGGTTTCGTGCTATTCGGAGAGATAATCTTGGCGACGTATGTCAAGATGAAGGCCGTATCTCGTTGCTCCGTTAAAAGCAATGTTTACCGACGAGAAGCTTCCTCTCTCTCGCTACGGTGGAAGAGTGGACGTCGCGAAAAACTGCAAAGAAAACACAATTTCTTCTCTTATTCTCTTTTATTTTTTTTTTTTCCTTTTATTTTTAGAGGCACCGGGGGAGAAGACGGGACAGATAATTTTTGTCCCTGTGTATTCGTATGCACCTCCGTCTTAGCGAGACGTGCGCTCTTTGTTATTCCAGGAAGCTATTCGCACTATTCTGAGAGCCTGGCCGTACTTTTTCGTAAACATGCTCCAACATGCGCAGCATAGCGCCTGGCGGGCGAAGTTTAACTTTGCCCCCGTGGATTTATTCAGACAAGAATCTCTCACGGTGAGAGCAGCCGTAAATGTTTGTCGGCGACTTTAGAAAAATTTTAACAAAAGCAACTGTACGCTTTAATTTATTATTTTACGCGGACACGGGGCTTGTGTGTTGAACTCTGAAGGATCGAGGGTCGCGACAACATGGCGGACTCTATCTAAGATACGTCAAGATACACTATCCCGGCGCGTCGTCACTTGGAACACTTGAATCACTTGGAGCAAAAGACACGCGTTCGTGCACTTCGCCGTTTGTATTAGGTGTATGCAAAAGTTTTAGTCGTTTTCTTCAGCCCCCTAATGCAGCTATTTTTAATTGAAATATTTTCCCGCCATTTTGTGTTTTTGTACGGTTGCTACTCTTAACTCTCTAGAACGCCATTCCTTATGATTCACATCGGTGCACGTAACCTTAAAGATAACAGTTGGTACAACGAGTGACAAAATATTTTGGTAATTATGCATAAAAGAGGCCCCCCCTTTGATTTAATTTATTTTTAAATATGTTGTTGCGGAAGTCTTCCTGAGTCGTTTCATATACATATATAACGGTCGAACACAAATAGCTTCGGAAATACAAGCTGAGAAACGATGAAAGTAGTAGAAATGAATCACCGAAGCATACACACACACACACACACACACCGGAGGGGGGTGCCTTCGGCCCCCCCACCCGCACTCCTCCTCGTCTGGTCGAACTTACGTCACGTGGAAAATCGCAAACTCATGGGACACAGAACAATACGACTTTCTATATGAAGCGAGTTTCATCCGTCAAGGGGAGGGTGCAGGTGGCCTGTTTGTTTATGTTTTCAAAATGACTCTGTTGGTTTATGTCTTGTTTATGTTTGAATTTCTTCACATATTTTCACCAAAATATATGAAAATATAATAACCAAAATTCATTAATTTTTACACTTGTTATTTCTATCCCTTCTCAACCTGTATCTCCGAAGCTATTTGCGTCCGACCCTTATATATATGTATGTGAAACGACTCAGAAAGACTCCCCCAACAATATATTTAAAAATAAATTAAATCGAGGAGGGGGCTCCTTTTATGCATAAATACCAAAATTTTATATTCGACACTGCATTTAGTTTTGCCACTGAAGGCTCAAGTTCCTGCAGCTTTCGTTCCAGAGCGCGGACGATCACTCATGTGAAAATCGCCATCTTTAAAGCGACGAGAGCAATGTCTACATGTATTGTGGGACAGTATTTTCCTCAAGAACAGAACAAATGGATTCACTTCGCTTTTTTCCTTGCTGGAATTTATATCAAATGTAGTATCGAATATAAATTTTTCGTCGCTCATTGCATCAACTGTTATTTTTGAGGTTATGTGCAATGAATCGTAATGAGAATAGCGATTTAGAAAAAGTTCAATATCAACCTTACAAAACTAGAAAATAGTAGGAAAACATTTCCGTTTAAGATAATTACATTAGAGGGCTGAAAAAAGGACCTAAACACTTAATATTAATTAAAAACAGAATCCGGCTGTTATGTCATCTCAGTCGTGCTTGTGATTTTTCTGTTTCAGAAAGCTTCTTGAAAACTGCCAGGCGGCGAACAGGACTACGAATGTGATGACACAATGATGCAAGACTCGCAACAACGGAGAGACCATCCTCACGCTGTAAAACAGCGTATCTCGAGGGTGGTCTTCCAGATCCTGTTGATTCAAAATTTCGTTACTTCCAGAACTGTTGCTCAAATAGCCGAATGTCCGCCGACGGAAGTAATTCCGGGCTGTCCTTGCTACAACTTTGAAGACGGTCTCTTTTTGGAATGCGCTGGCGCTACGGAAGAGACCCTGAGAACCACACTGCAAGGCATGCTAAATACAAGCGGTAAGCGACTCCCGAGCATCAACACATTTGGTACAATTGAAAAATAAGATATCTTCGAATTGAGACTTTCGTTCCTTTGCGGGATTCCTGCTTGATGATGCCACAAGCTAGGAAGTGCGTTTTCTTATGTTCCCGTCACGATTGATTTCTCTTTCTTATTCTGATTGTTTCGATTGCAGAGGAGAAGCTTTCGGAGCATTTTTAAAATGTGCTCTCGATTGATCTCAAGTGTAATTTTGTATCTTTTATATTCTTACGTCTCTTTATCTCGACGTCCATTTGAGATTTGATCCATTTGAAACATTCAGCATAGATTTCCTCGGCGTCCGAGATGACCGCGACGAGAGAGCGAGAGCTTCGAGTTCTAGGAGCTCTTTTAGGCATTCTTTTCTCGCGAGAATTCTCACCGGACGAGGGTCGTGTTGTTCGGGTCCCAGTAATTAATCCTGAAACGTGCACCAACGCATCAACATGAACGTCTACTCACTAATTCTCTTCGTTGCAATTGCACATCCGCACTTGCAAGCTGCATTCCGTGGCACGTCCCGAACCGCGCCGTTTCATTTGCCACGAGACTAGTTCCGTTAGACAGATTTATACTAACGATGAGCAGGCACGTGCCAAGAATCCACGTACGGCATTCCTCATCCGATTATAAATGTGCTCGCAGTCGTCTGCATTTTCAAGCGCAGGATCACACATTCACGCTCGCGCAAGGGTTCACGAGTTGAGGGAGAGAGGGAGAGAGAGCTCAACATACGCGAGGCTCATGCAAAAGTGAACTTCCTGGTGTATATTAACCCTTAAAAACTACTGTCAAAGAAAGTCACGTTAATGCTGTCGTGGGTGAAATTTCACTCCGGCATGTATTTTTTATTTTAAAAATAAAAAGAACGCACAAATGCAATTAATATTTTTTTTTATTATTGTGTATTAGATGAAAAGTAAAGAAGTTACTGTTTGCGGCAAATAGCTTAACATTTAGTAAGAACGAAACAAAATTCGCATGGGATTAAATTTCACCCATGATGGCCTTTAAGGGTTAACGATGCATCGCGCGATATTAATTATACCTCGATGTTACTTTAAGCGCTGCTCGCCCGAGAAGTATGAGTGTTTTGAGCCAAATAAACGTTCGTACGATGTTCTCTTTTGCCACGTTTATGTGATCTTTTGCCTACCTGTCCCCCCCGAGTCGCGTGTTATTTTTTATTTTATCAGCGTATTATTTTTTATCAGCGCCTTGATTTATTCATCGTCCACGGTCGAAGGTTTTTCAGAGCGCGCCGCGTCCAAGTGAAAATTGCCCACTCGAAATTTAACAAAGCGTTTCCGAACGCTGTTCATAAAAAACAATGGCATTCTTCCCGTTGTCTGCACAGCATTTCTCCCTTTGCCGTACGGCAGAAAGAAACGTGTTCGCCAGTTTGCGGTTGTTAGAGAATCGTAGTCAGGGAAAACATTTTTGCAACAAGTGTCGCTATATACAGCATTAATGATAATAATCTGATATGCTGGTAGCTATTACTACTTTTCTCGTTGGAACAATAGGATACGAGGTAAACGGCCCACTTATTGACCTTTTAAGAATAACAAGGATAGTGATTCTTTATTTATAAGAGTAATATAAGATGAAATTGTGTGATAGAACAAACAGTTCTATCGCGCGAATCAAAGTTTTCTGCGTGAGGTACACCTATTTTGCAAGTAAATAGATGTAGAAATTACAATAAAGTTATTTATTTAAAAATGCTTGTCTACCGTCGATGTTGCTGACTCCCTGCAAACACCGATGTCGCATTTTCTGACCCCATCGCCGACCCAACTTCTGATCCTTCGCGACACAAATGTCCACTTTGTACAATTTCACGAATAGAGCGTGAGAAAATATCTCTTTATTATTAGATTTCTGCATTTATTATATTTCTAATCCATATAATATCAAATAAAATTATACTTAAACAATTGCAATATTCGAATGAGATACATAATAAACATGAGGACAGATTTCAATGCGTAGCAACTTCATGGCTATACTTAAACAATTGCAATATTCGAATGAAACATATAATAAACATGAGGACAGATTTCAATGCGTAGCAACTTCACGGCCAATAAATAAAATGTAGCTCCAAATGTACAACCCACTGATTGGCCCGTCAAATTTAATCGAAAAACTAACTTCGAAAAGGAAAAGTTTTCATATCACACAGAACAAACATTTGGCTCCTTTTGAACTTAATCATCAACGACTTTTATAATATTCTATACTCACATGTTTGTAAAAGTCCGTAAATACAACACGACTTGCTTTAGGCCAGATACGTAAGAAAAATGGAAAAAGGTACCTCCGAAGCGTGGCTCTCTGTTTCAGTCGAGAGATTTGATGACAATTATATTCATTCAAAATGTCTGATTCTTTGCAACTAAGAGCAGCAGATAGCGCTACTTACCTTGCTGATGATCGATATGACATTTTACGCCTAAGGAAGTTACTGAAATTAAAAAACATTGAAAGGGTCAGTAAGCGGGTCAGGACCGGAAAGTGGACCTTATGTTTACCTTATGTATTATCGATAGCTGATACACAAGACTATATCTGTTCCAAAATCGATCTCGGAAGCTTTAGTTCTAGGAAGTTACAAGGTCGGTAAACCCTAAACTAACTTCAACGTTCCGCAATTGATCAGCCGATCAAAATTATCAAGTTATAATAAGTAGTACAAAATCTATCCATTTCTCTATTTGATATTACAAAATTAATAACTAAAACCATGTTTGTAAACAGAAATAGCACATGGCCGTGAGCGTCCAAGCATGATCAGCTGATCAATTACGGAACATACGGAATCAACGTTAGTTTAAGTCCTTATAACTAAAACTAAAGTTTTCGAAACCGATTTCGAAACGAGCCCCTACGGACGTCGTATGCTTTCAATCACTTTGACAGTTTACTCAACAGAGACGTGCGCATTGCGACTCATACGGGCTCCTCGGACGAGCCAATACATACCCGGTGTCTGTCTCGGACGACATCGTCTCTATCGATCGAACGCGCGCGGGCGCGCGCACACGTGTTGAATTCAGCCATCACGCCTCATTTGATAGCACAGAGCCGCTCGTATGCAAGCAAAATAAGAATCGCGCGTTCCCCCGTGCAGTTTTCAGTTGCACAGTATCAGCATTGAATAACGCGGCTGAGGCTGGGCCGCCATCTTCCGCGACGCAATTCATAAAACTGATGAAACGTGCGGCCAGCCGTGGCGACGCCGGCTCCCAAGTTGGGAGTTCGCGTTATCGCGCGACTCCCGCGATGGAGATTAACGGGCGTTCGTGCTTTACGATCATTTTCGCAGGCGCAGGCACGATGATACAGTCGTTGAGCGTTTACGAGCTGGACAAAGGCATCGAGGAGCTGAAGGAGGTCGCTTTCCCGCCCGGCTCGCAAATCAGGCACCTCCAGATCTCCCATTCGTCATTGCGGGAGCTGAGCGAGAACGCCTTCACGAACCTCAAAGACAGCCTGGAGTCGTTGGCTCTGGTGTCCGGTCGGTTACCTTACGTACCTCAGAAATCGTTAGCCGAGCTGCGGATGCTGTTGTTGCTAGACCTCGAGACGAACCTGATACAGGACCTCACGTCGTACTGCTTCTACGGCTTGAAGCTGATGAAACTGGTGCTAAAGGGTAACCAAATATCCAAGATCTCGGAATACGCGTTCGCCGGCCTAGAGGAAAGCCTGAGCGACTTGGACCTAGCCGAGAACAAGCTGAAGCTCTTCCCAATGGCTCCGCTCAGAAGGCTGGAGAACCTACTCTCGCTGAGGCTCGCGTGGAACGAAATCTCGGAGCTGCCCGACGACGGTTACAGCATGCTGAACTCATTGCTGTTCCTCGATCTGAGCAGCAACAATTTCGAAAAGCTGGCCGAAAACTGCTTCAGGCCCTGTCCCATCCTGCACACACTGTCTCTCTACTACAACTCCATCGAGAGCATTCACAAGGACGCGTTCATGTCGCTGAAGGATCTCGAGTCGATCGACTTGAGCCACAACAAGATAGTGTTCCTCGACGCGGCGACGTTCAAGGGGAACGAGCGGCTACGTACGATCGAGCTCAGTCATAACCACATCCACTACATCGGCGGCGTGTTCGCGCAGCTGCCCGAGCTGCGGGAGCTTTATTTGGCGGAAAACAATATTCTGGAGATCCCCGGGGACGCGTTCGCCGGCAGCGTCAGCCTCGCGGTGGTGTATCTCCAGCAGAACGCCATCCGAAGAATCGACGCGAAGGGTCTCACGAGTCTTACGCAGCTGGTCCAATTGCATTTGAGCAACAACTATATTGAGCGGGTGCCGCGGGAATTCCTCGAGCATTGCGAAAACCTCTCGTCGCTCTCTCTGGACGGTAACAAGATCCGCGAGTTACAGCCGGGCACCTTCCTCAAGCTGCACCAGCTGCGGGAGCTGCGACTCCAGGATAATCGCATCACCGAGGTGAAGCGCGGCATTTTCACGCCGCTGCCGGTTCTCCTCGAGCTCCATCTGCAGGACAACGCCATCACTGCGATGGAGACTGGCGCGTTGCGAACGCTCAACAGTCTTCAGCACATTAATCTCCAGGGCAATCAGCTGACCATGCTCGGCGACGTCTTTCAGTTGTCCGCCACGGAATCGTCGTCCGGCGGTAGCTCTCTGGTGTCTATTCAGTTGGACAGCAACGGCCTGGCGGTGCTGCACAACGACTCGCTGCGCGGCCAGGCGTCCGTGCGCATCATGTGGCTCAGCCATAACAAGCTGACGCACCTGCAGGCGCCCCTCTTCCGGGATCTTCTTCTAGTGGAGCGGCTTTATCTCACCAACAATTCCATATCCAAGATCGAGGAGGCCGCCTTTCAGCCTATGCAGGCTCTCAAGTTCCTCGAGCTCAGCATGAACAGGCTGAGTCACGTGACAGCGAGGACATTCTCGGAACTGCACGAACTCGAGGAGCTCTACTTGCAGAATAACGGCCTCAAGCGGCTCGATCCCTACGCGCTGACCGCCCTGAAGAAGCTCAAGGTGCTGGACTTGGCCAACAATTATCTCACCATTCTGCAGGACGCGATCTTCCAGGAGGACTTACCGATCAGGATGCTGAACCTGAAGAACTGCTCGATCAGTACGATCGAGAACGGAGCGTTTCGCGGGCTCAACAACCTGCTCGACCTCAATCTCGACGACAATCTGCTGACGTCGTCAGCGCTGCTGCGCCTGCACGTGTTCGGCCTGCGGACGCTCGCCGCGTCCGGCAACAACTTCAGTCAGATCACGGAGCACAGTTTCAACGGGCTGCCGTCGTTGCAGGAGCTCTTCCTCGACGACTCGCAGATTGGCCAGCTGCCGGAGACAATCTTCGTGCTGAACCGCAATCTCGTGCGGCTCCACCTCAATCGCAACCACCTGCGCACCCTGCCGCCGGGCATCTTCGACCGGTTGCTGTCGCTGCGGGAGATCCGGCTGAATCACAATCGCTTCCAGGACATCCCGTACTCGGCCCTGTCGAACGCGCTCAACCTCGAGATCCTTACCTTGTCCACCAACGAGATCCTCAACGTCGACGTGGCGAGTTTCGCCAGCCTGAAGCATCTGCGCGAACTCGATCTCAGCCGCAACAAGATCGACACGATGTCCGGCTTCGCGATGGCCAATCTGTCGCGGCTGATATCGGTCGACCTCAGTCACAATCATCTGACCGCGCTGCCGGCCAATTTCTTCGCGCATTCGTCCTTGTTACACAGGGTCGACCTGTCGGAGAATAAATTCCGACAGATACCCGCGGTGGCTCTTTCGGGCCAGAACCTGCCCGGGCTCACTTGGCTGAATCTCACGCGGAATCCGCTAAACAAGATCCACGAGCTGCCGGCGGAGGCGCTGTATCCCATTCTTCAAGAGGTGCACATTTCCGGCACTAACCTTAGTATAGTGACCTCGCAGGACTTCGAGGCCTTCCCGGCGCTGCTGCACCTCTACCTTAGCCAGAATTGCATCTTGCGAGTGTCGCCGGGCGCGTTCCGCAGCCTGCCGCATTTGCTCACCCTCCACCTCGGCATGAACAGCCTGGAGATCCTGCCGAAGGAGAGGCTGCAGGGCATGGAGCACCTGCGCATCCTCAATCTGACGCACAACCGCCTGAAAGAGCTCGAGGAGTTTCCGGAGGACCTTAAGTCCCTGCAGGTACTCGACCTGTCGTACAATCAAATCGGCATCGTCGGTAAAGTGACGTTCAAGAATCTAATCAGCCTGGTCGAGCTGCATCTTTACGGCAACTGGATAAACGCCATATCCAGCGAGGCCTTCAGGCCGCTGAAGAAGCTGCGTCTGCTCGACCTGAGTAGAAATTACCTGGAGAACCTACCACTGAACGCTTTCCGGCCGCTCGAGACGCAAATAAGGAGCCTGCGGGCCGAAGGTGAGTCGTTTCTATTCAGACACGCCGGGTACTTGCAATTCGTTTCGCGCACGCACTGCACGCGGCGGACGCGCCTTGTCCTCTGCCCGATTCTCCTCCCAGGAAGAGCAGTCGCATGACGACGACGACGTCGTCGTCGTTGAATTTGCACGCGCGAACCCACGAATACGACGAGGGCGGAATTTTGCCGCGTACACGCGGTCGACTATCGATCCCGCGAATCTGAGGCTGCCGCTACTTGAAAATCAATCGTATCGCTGGTCACGTAGTGCAGTCGTCTCGAATCAATATTCAACAGCGGAACAATCAAACAAGTCCGTATAACTCCATCTCATTTTTCGCAGCGCGGAATCCACGAAACTAATTCCACACTCGCGTAGTCTTGATACCTTTCGAGAGCTCGCTCGAGATACATTGCATGCCACATACATCCTGTTCCTTTTTTCATTTTCCTTCTCTTCTTTTTTTTTAACTTGCATAAAGCTCGGGATGTGCACGGCGTATCTGAAATCCACCGACGAACTTATAGGACGAGAGAGGTCTTGGGAAACGCATGTCCGCAATGGCTGTTTTTTTCAGTTATGCCTTTCGGAGAATGACGGTAGTGGAAGAGAACGTATCGCGTAGGCGGGTTAAGAACGTTGACACAACACTTTTTTAACACTATTTTTCAAGATCATACCCAAAAAAAGTAATTTCAGAACAAATGGAATCATCTAAATTTTGGAAAATTTTATTTTTATATATGGCCTCAAGAGAATTCTTCTATATAGTTCTATAGTTGAAAGAAAATTAAGAGAAAAATATTATAAACGCATTATTCTTAAAGTTAGAGGGATTATATGTTATATGTATAATGCAAATCTTATTGATTTTAATATAAATTTCCTCCTATACACAGATTATTTAATCTTTTTTAAGAGGATTATTATTTATTCTTGTACTTTATTCTCTCTTACTGGCTATACTAGTTTGAAAAAATTATTATAATGTATAACGAAAAGTAATGTATATATACACGCACTTCTGGCTTCAGTTTTACAATAAGTAGGCACGAATAATAAAATCATCGTAACAAATAAATTTCCAATCAGGTTTGTTACGGACTTCGTAGCTACAAAGATGTTCATCATAACCAATTGTATGAAACATAGTTGAACGAAAAAATATATTATTCAACTTCTTGCAATAGATTATAAACTGTATTGATCAAATATAGGTAAATTATTTTCGTTATATGTTACAACAACATACATACCTTTTTTAGCGTTCCAAATATTCTGGCCTATGGTTATTTTTTTCGTTCATGTCTGGAGGTAAAACATGACATGAACAAAAGAAGCCAACATTCAACATATTCCTGTTCGTATAAGAGGGAAATTAATTGATATAATAGGAAATCTTCTTGAAATAAGAGAAAAATAGTTAGAATAATATCCAATAAATTTAAGATGAATGGTTCACTTTAATCGCTTTATCGAAAAAGGAATCCTTTTTCTGTAAAAGGCTTCGCTTAGAATATGAGACTACGGGAAAAATCACTCTACAAATAGAATACTTTTTTTGGATGCATATCCATCAACTTTGACAATTCCGTAAAGTAACCATAGAGTCATTTATTGTTACGTTGGTCTCGTATATCATTAAAAAACGTATTGCTTCCTCTTGATATCATGGATGTCTGCGCTTTCGCAGAGCTTGCAGATGTGACAAAAATTTTAAATAGTTTTTCCAACAATACGTGCTCGTAAAACACAATGTAACTTAAAACTGAAATAGCGGCTACATATGAAATATGCTAAGAGTGCTATTCAGAGGCAAAACGAGCTTAGTTTGGTCGTGCTCTAACAATAGCATGAAAAGAGACTAATGACATTTATATTCAGAGACACTTTTTTATGATTTAGTCTCCTGTATTAAACTCAGCTTAAATTTAAGCTACCTGTAGCGGTAGTCTAAGCTTGGTTTTCTTTTCTGATGTTCTTCCTTTTTAGTATCGAGTCCGTCAAGAAACTTTCCTCCTCCGTGGCCCAATTAGCTTTCCTACTTTACTTTATTTTCTTTGACGTATCCATTAAGAATAATTTTACTGTCATAAATTAAGAAAAAAAGAGTCCTAGAATCTACCTCAACACGAACCTCAAAAGTCGCGCTTTGATAATTCCCTGGTGATTACATTTCATTAGCTATGTAATATCTGAAAACAAATTAAGACGATTAAATATAAGACCCTGCTATGAATACCGGTCGGAAGGTTTAATTTCCTCAGTCCGGATACCTAATTTAAAACGTTTCGGAAAAATATCTCTGAATAACATGGCCTCAGTTCATCGTTAGTCCGTGGCCAGACTATGGAAGGACTAACTAACCCAGCACCGTTGTCTTGTCTTTGAATAGCACTCTAAGCGTTTGAAGAGATATATTTGTTAAGAAAGACCTCTTTATTTCTATTTTCATTTTTATTTTTTTTTTTTTTTTATAGAATCTATCCTGTGAGCTTATTATCAGTAGAGTCCAGATACACCCTGTATATATCTATATTATATGCCGCCGTACGAGATGATAAAACGCAATGCCATTGTAATTCATTTATTCATAAATTGCATACACATATTTTATGATAATTGGAACCAGAATTATGAATTTTAATGATCGTCGATGCATTCGTAATTAATTGTAATCAATCAACAAGAGCATGAGACTCGCATCTACAACGTTTGACTGAATCTTTGATTATGAGGCTCGTGAGCAGTTGGTGCGTGAATAATTTTTCCAGGCAAGAAGAGCGACGGTGTGTAAAACATATTTTCAAAAATCTCCCCAAGTATCGCATAATGGTCGAAACGTTATAATTTTCACGTTCGCCACTGATAAATTGATCACTTACCCCCCTCTGGCTCTCGAATACACGTTGCACGTGCATATAACGCGATTAATTATACATACAAGCTGAGGTAATAATCATTATCACTTTGAGTATCCTGGAAACATCGCGAGCGAGAGAAACAGTTCATCCGGGAAAATCACGCAGCCAGAGATGGTCGCTTTATGGCGCTGATGTTCTCTCTCTCTCTCTCTCTCTCCCTCTCTCTCTCTCTCTCTCTCTCTCTCGTACTCCCTCTCTCCCTCGGTCCTTATTTCATCGGAAGAAACCCCAATGGCAAGATATTCAGGGTGGTAACGGTTATGTGGCTCAGTCCGTACAATCAAACGCTCCACGTATTCTTGTATTCACGCGTTCGCTTACGGTGAAAGGCTCGCGCTGCGCGTTGGTTTCGCCATAAACAGTTGACCGACCGGTTAGGTCGACTCTCGCCCGTCGGCGTTTGCTACCCAGGTCAATCCCGGCGCGTATAATATCGCACCTGCAATAACGAATGCCCGTGCCAATCTCATTGACAGAGAACCCCTTGCACTGCGGCTGCGAGTCGCAGGAGCTGTGGGAATGGCTGAGAGATCATCAGAAATTGGTGAGTGGGGTCGGCGGTGGCCGTAGCCGCGGAAGAAATGGTGTCGGAGTCGGCGACGTCGAGGGCGGTTTGTTAAGATGCGAGCAGCCACCCGAGCTCCGGGGTCTCGTCTTCCTCGATCTTGACCCCCACGCCTTCTGTTCCGCTCCGCTGGTCCTGAAACTCGCAATTCAGGACATTCAGCCCTTCTCCGTTCTAGTGTCGTGGCAAAGCAGAAACCATTCGGGCCTTTACGGGTACCAAGTGGCGTACCATGCCTTGGACAATGTCGACGAGGTAGGGGCCGCTTTACTTTCTTTCTACGTCGGGGATAGAGACTTGAGTTGCCTCGGGAGAGTCGTGCTGCCCAACAATGCAGAGACGAAACTAATACGCGCATTTGACTCATTAAATCATACACGTAGGGTGAATCCGGGATAGAAGGGCATAGTAGTAGTATTTTTAATTGGAAATAACACATCTGTATTATTGCGATAAATGATCAACAACACATTCAGTAGAGCATTAGTGTTTAAAGCACAGAGGAATTTTTGTGAAAAAAAAATACACAGAACGCCAATAATAACGGAATATTAAAAATATTCTGTGAGGGATAGATGGTCAGGGTAGAAGGTCATGTGTGAAGAGATATTTGGGCATGCCTATAATAATGTAGAAATTTGTTTATCTTTATTTATGTTTTTAGTATTTTACATCCTTTTACTAATTATTAACCTTTTTATTAATCTTTTTATTAATTATTAATAAAATAAAACATTTCCACAAGTTTCTTATAGAAACCAAAGACAATATTGGAGAGAAGGTTGAAGAGTGGCAACACAAAAAAAGGCCCTATGGGACAAAACATTGTTTATTAAAGAGAAAAAAGAGAAAGAAATCTATTCGACATCTTTCAACGGAACAAGAAGCTGTTAAAAATGTACTGAAGTTTTTAATGTTAGGTACTCAGGGAAAAATGATAGTCGAATAGATATCGAATCGACGTCTTTTATACGTCTAAAAAACGTCGGTCCGATGTCCATCGCTTGCTATTTCTCCGCTGAGTAGGCTGCCCATTTAACCCTGATAAAAGTGAACCATCTATCCTGTTTGGAGGGTTCGCGTAGTCTCGGTGACAAATTTTGAGATTAAGTACGCAAATACGGTATTTGTTAGTCGTTTAAGCCTAAGTCTAATGTTGCAACTCAAAATAAACCGTCTTCGCAAGATATCTTTCCGATGTGTGAAATATATTTTGCAGGCTAATAGAAACATAAAACATTTTTTTACTCACAATAACGGTGTTTTAACTCACTCAATAATTTAACTCACAATAACGGTGTTTTTGTGCGGAATCAGGAAGAGCACCACATCTACTCGTGGTATATCCAATTCACAATTGATCGATCCACGCTGACGCTTAGCGTATGTTAAAAAGTTATAGCAATTAACTATTTATCCCCTATGCCCATCTCTATCCCGGACTTACCCTATACAAATATAATTTAACAAGTTGCACAATTCTTAGATAGACAAAGTCACCTCTGCTTGTTATCTCGAGAAAGGAGAGACATTTAGATTTTATCGATCGCCAACTATTAATTATCAGACTAGGTTGTTGTTGCTCATCGCTCCGAAAAGGGGAAACATTCATTCATTACTAATTATCAGCTGTTAATTATCGCACGTGTAATGTTTGGATCGACAAAATTGCCTTTGCCTGTCACGTATGCTACAACACTCGAAAAGTCACTCGTCTTTTACGGAGAAGACGGCCGCAAGAGCCGAAGGGCCGCCGCGGGGCACACCCTTATCCTTCTTCCACATCCGAGGCCGCCACGCTGACGGCATAGCTTTCTCGACGGGCGTTTCAGGTACGAGGCAAGCTGCTGGACCCGAAGGCGCGTTCAGTTAGATTGACCAAGTTGGCGTCCGACACGCGCTACCTGATCTGCGTGCTCGGCCTGGGCAGCTGGGGCACGCCAGTCCCGGAGGACATCGGCTCCTGGCAGTGGAACGCGACGCACGACGACGTGATCGAGGGGCCCTCGCTGCCGGTGATGGTGAACTCGCCGACCAGCCGCTGCACGGAGGTGCGAACTCTGGACGCGCCCGATTCGATAGTGGGCGACGGCACGGTGAGCGATCGTGGCGGCATCGCGAGCATCCTCACGAGACGGCTGGGTCTCATCGTGGGCAGCTGCATGGGCTTCGTCGTGTTCGTCGTGCTGATCTCCGTCCTCGGCTACATGAAGATGAAGAAGCAGCGCGCGACGATCAAGCGGGATCAGCCGTTGTCGGCGAACCCGCCGGAATACATGTCTTACCGGCACTTCTCGTTGCAGAGCGGCGACAGGGCGGAGAATGCGTGCCCGAGCTTCATCAGTAACATCGGACCCGCTCCGCTCGGCTCGTAGCAGAAAGCGAAGGAGTCTCGTAAAGAGGCCGCCCAACACGACATCGAGATGAAAACCGTGTCGACCTGCACCAGCATCTACAACTAATAATCGCGCCGAGTCGTCCGCGACCTGAGTCGTCGTCAAGTTCTGGAGCGCTTGAAGTCGTCAGGACGCATGTCCGTGTGCGCTCGATTGGGACGGTCGTAAATCGGGAGATCGCCGATCGACGCGACACCTATCTCTCGTCCTCGCGAGATTAGAGACGTTGCAGGACGTTCGCGTAGCGAGGCGAAAGCACTCCGATCGCCGCGCCGGAGACTTTGCAATCAGTAGCAGCGATTCAACGTAGGTCAACTCTTGTTCGCGACGACATCGCGCGAAAGGGGGACGTGACGAAGCGAGCGAAGTGCCAAAATGGGGCGGGCGAAGGGGCAGCAGGGGGACACGTGCCGTAAATTTTTCTCGCGAGCCCCGCGACTCGGCCGTGTAAACGCGCCGGGAACATCTCTTGCTCAGCGACTTGGGCGCACCGTTTAGCGATTCAAGCTCGTGCCAAAAAAGACCGGGGCGCGTTTCAGAAGCGCGACAGAGAAGCCGGCCACCGTCTCTGTGAGAGAGGAGTGAAAGCGGCGGTACGACGAATTAGTACTCGCGAGACAGGAGACTTCACCGGAAGTCATCCTTCGCGGGGGTCCTTTCGTTTTACATTTTTTTACCACGCATCCCGAAAACCGTCCGTTGTCGCGGACGGACACCCCCGCCGCTTTGCGAAAACCGAACAACGACGTACCGGAACCCTCTCTACGGAATTTTTCGAATCTCTCGTACGAAGACTGATTTTTTAAGCCGTTCGACATTTCCTTTTTGTAACTTCCGGAAATTCTCGTCTATGTATCATACATGTGTGTGACGTAATATACACATGCAAGCAGACACACACGCGCCCACACACACATACACAGAGAGGAAGAGAGACGTACAGAGTGCGCGTACATTCTAGCACATACGGACAGACACACACACACACACACACATTCGACACTTTTTTTGTAAATAAACGTAAAGCATTGCCACTTAACGATGTCCATGCTGGTGTGTATCCATGAAATTCATCTTTATAGTGCTACGCAAGCAATATTATACTTATTCGTATCGATAGTTCTAACGATCAGCACTAACGTAATTAAGGGGAAGCGAGAAGGGCTCTAACTCGTCGTCCTTAAAACAGGATCTCGCGAGCGATCGCGATCCAGCCTCTTTGACTTTATCGATAATATCACGTTACGAGGCGAGAATATGTGAGACCAAAGGTGTTACTCTGGGCGACGAACACGTTCGAAATTGTCGAATCGTGAAAGACTAAGTGTGATTCCTGCCAAACGAAAAAAAGAGGGAGAAAGAGAGAGAGAGAGAGAGAGAGAGAGAGAGAGAGAGAATAAATAAATAAACACGAGGAAGAATAAAGAATAATTGATTCCAAGTTGCCAAATGTTAACTGTGTATCGAATATCGTGAGAAATCGGTTTATTGTATATAGATAGAAAATATGTATACACATAGCATTCTTTATTATAGCCTAGGCTTTCAGTTAATAAAAGTACCTCAAAGCTGTGAATCCCGATCATCTCGATAATCACTCACCGTAATCTTCTCGATCCTCCTTGACAATCCACTTGGCAATTTGTCAGCCGCAGCCGATTTTCCTTTTCTTTTTTTCTTTTTTTGCCAACCGGTAATGACATTTTTCCTTTCTTTTCATAATTCTTCTGCACGCACAATTGTTACAGACCGAATGCAAAATTTTGCCAGTAACAAATGAATGAGTAAATAATTATATAACGTGTGCAATCGCCTGCACAGAGAAAAATGTTTGCTTGAACGAATCGAATTTTCTGCTGAGATACGAACGATACAGAAATTCCGATGAAAAACGCCGGTGGATATCACCGATAACGTCAGCCAGAATTTCTGTGTCGTTCGTATTTCACCGGAAAATTCGTTCGGCCCCGGCGAACATTTTTCTCTAATTTACATGCAGGTACACAATTATTTGTTATTACGCATAACAATATTATACAACTATGCGATCATTTTTGCAACGGTCTCGTGGCGAGCGTCCTTACAAGAACACCATTATTCATTCGTTTTGCGCCAAGGCTGCGCGGCACGAGCACATCTTGTTCATGATTCAGCCGGTATTCCGACTAAATGGAATTTCCTAGCGTATCTCCGGCGATCCGTTAAGTCATCTCACACGACTAATTAATTAATTATAATGGCAGTTTAGACTGGACAGCTCAGAACGCGTCTGTGGTTCTCGTAGATTTCCTAATTAACTCGGTTCTATCCCCGAGCGTCAATCAGTTCCGATCCGGCACGTCCAAGGAGAAACTGTACTCCTCACAAGGATGCGCCTTCCTCCTCCCCTTCCCCCCTTCCTCTCCATCCTTCCTCTCTAATAATACATGCCTTAGTATTAGAGGGCCGTTTTGCGGGCCCTCCGCATCTCCGGGAACATCGCGCGTGATCCTGTGCGTCAGGTAAGTGAATGCAAGAGCGTCTTTCCGTTGCTGCACACACACAAACACACACATACACGTAGCCGAGATGACGGAGTTCTACATAGCACTGTGGATTCCTTCCTGGACCGATGGAGAATCTCGAGGTGTCTCGCCGCTGCGGATTATCGTTCTTTCACTCTGCGAATGATTACTCGCCGTCCACAATTGACGCCCACAGAGAAAAGTCCCGGCTTGAGAGAATCATTTGATATTTTCTCGACTTCCTCAATAATCCATCTGCATTTAACGTTTGCTAAATCTCAATTTCAACAACTAATGCTTTAATTATGCAACGTATTCAAATGCAGACGGAGCATCTCGCGATGAGCATATATTAAAGAATCCAATAAAGATTAAGGGAATTACATGCGGAGCAAACCGTTTCCGAGGCTACTTTTACGAATTTTTTCAGCAGAAACGGTAGGATCAATGGACTTGAAATGTTCACAGTGTATTCATTAATGTTCAAAGTATAAAATAAATTTGTTACTATCTACATGGAAAATACACATAAAACTTTAAACGCGTTTATCTGGAAACACCATTTTCTTAAGCTGTCAACACGATTACGCAAAAATTACTGAACCAAATAATTTGAAATTTTTACGCAATATACAGTGGACATGTAGTTTTCGCCCTTACCTTGAACACAGTTATATTTTATTTTATTCATTTCTTTTAAACATGTTTACAAGTTGAAAAAAGTTTCATTTTCGATACTTTTTTTTTTCATCAGTCATTATTTTCCCATACTTGGCTTCACTACCTTTATTTTAGTACGGACTATAATGGCAACCGTACACTGAGAAAAATATAGTTGAATGAACTATAGTCTCACTATATTTTATAGTTCATTTTGGCGTCAACCATATTTTTATAGTTTGTGGAACCTGCAAAATATGGTAGAATAAATACAAATATATAGTCAATGATTGTCTTAAATAATTGTTTAGTTACTTTTACCACATATATGATAATTTCTCATTCATAAATATAGTGAGATTTAATATTCATATAGTTACATATGTAACCATTTAGCAAATATTCTGGTAATATTGACTATATAAAAGAGTTACTTTACCTACCATTTTATATTTCTATCCATACAATAATTTTAATTTAACTTACTATAATTCTTAGTAAAAATATTATATAGTTGATTATATTATGCCTATATCGTAATTATTACCGATATTATGGTAATACTTACTATAAATATGATATTTCGGACTATAATTTAGTTACTATATCATTATAATTCCAAATATCATATACTTTTCTCTCAGTATATATTTTCAAAATCTTTCGCAGTTTTTAGTTTCAGAGTAGTGAGAGGCCCGGAATTATGTTGACAGCAACGGATGACTGCATTTTTATCTATAATTACAAATTGGATCGATTCTTGTGATCCAATAAAATTTATTTTATACTTTGAACATTAATGAATACATTGTGGAAATTTCAAGTCCACTGATCTTACAATTTCTGTTAAAAAAATTCGTAAAAACAGCCTTGAAAACGACCTTCCGCGTGTAATTCCCCCCTTAACAAAGCGGCAAATCTCCCTCTTTCTCGCAATCTCTTTTTCATCCTTTATTGCCATCAAAACTTTCCATAGAATTCGACCAGGATTTAGACCAGGTGAAGAACAAAAGGACTTGTCAACCTGAAGTCGCCATCGCGGCTAGACGCTCAATGGCGCCGCATGAAAATGCGAGTCGATCGGATATACGCAACGTTAATTAATACCTATAAATTAACGCAACGGCGGTCATCGGGCTTCTCGAGCGAAACTTGCGATAGAGAACCTAGAATCCTGATATTTTTGATGACACCGCTGGACTATTTGTAGAGCACCGATTTTTCGCTATTGGCGGCTGCTCGGGTTCTCGCCAGGAGCTTAGAGTGGATTGCATGAAAGTGACTACGGGATGTACGATATAACCAAGAATGATAATTATCGGCATAATTTGTCAATAACTGAATTGTTCAAACAATTTATTGCAAAAATTATTTTTGACAGGAAATAATGGCGCCATCTCATTCAACAGAGAAAATCATATGTCAATAATGTTTCATACAGGCCTAAGATTGCAAGTGTTATGAAAAAGCAATAAAAAAACAATTAATGAATAGCCCAAATTTTATCCCAGCTCTGACCATGCCTGAGCAAACTACAATGGTTCCAAACCGGATTGCTGGATGTAAGATTTGACCAAGAGTAATGATTATTGGTGAAGAAAAAATTGTGAAAACAATTTCTTCCAATATAATTGCTTAAGCAATTTATTGTAAAATTGATTTTCGGTCGAACATGATGGCACCTTAGTTCTTGCAAGATTGATCGCGCGCCAGTCCTTTTCAGTGCCTACTGTGAACGATTCCTTGCGAAACTATCATGTAGCAGTCAGTTACCGAAGTCACTGACTCGTGAGAGGCACGGGAACTCACGCTAATCAAGCACCCCAGATCGTGAAAGGCACGGGAGTTCACGCTAATCCAGCATCCCAAATCGTGAGAAGCACAAGGACTCACGCTAATCAAACACTTCAAATCGTGAGAGGCACGGGGAGATTCACGCTAATCAAGGACCTCAAATCATGAGAGGCACAGGGACTCACGCTAATCAAACACTCCAAATCGTTAAAGGCACGGGGACTCACGCTAATCAAGCACCATCTGAAGTGGGTCAGAATAGTTGATAAGGACGTTGATGCACAATGCGAACTTTGATCCCTCATACCTTGAGGATAAAGAGTGGGCTCAATCTAAAATTTTCAGAGGATCAATGTCTTATGTAGGGTTGATCGATCGAGTGATCGATCCGATGTGCAATAGTAGAGAGAATAGAGGTCGCGCAGGTAGAGTGAGAGCATAGAAGAAAGGCGAGAGGAAAGAGGACGGATTAGAATACAAAAAGAAAGCAAGACGGGTCGAGGTGCAATGTACAAGCCGCGTGCTAGAGAATAAGACTTCATTATATTTATGTCCTTCAATAAACACGTACACAATCCGCAACTTTATATGCATCACCCGGATCCCTACATATATAACTATCGTTTAGCACCAAATTCGAATTTCAAGGGTAAAGGAACAGGCGATTGTTGGCCTCACTCTTTGTCAACTTCAAGGTGCCATTCAATACGTAAACAGACCGCGAGTCGCGCAGAGCTGCGATATCGACGAGCTCTCGACAGCTGCCAACGCGTGATGAAAATATCCCATCGGCTCTTGAAATATTCAGTCGGACCCTCGTGGCAACACTGCGTTAATTAGAGACACGTGTTACTCCGATCGGACCGTACATACGCGAGTGTCCTGTGAGTGTCCAGTGAATGTCCTGTGCGATGAGGCAGCCAAGAGCAGGATGTTGAATTGGGTTGCGAAGCCGAGATGCGAGCACAACGCCTCGTATATTTCCAGGTGCGCCAAATTATTTGTTACGCGAAATATTCCCGCGCGATGTTCACGGTCTCGTTAAGTTTGATGCGCTCGCCGAGGATAAAGGGAGTCGAAATTTGGAATCGAAGACGCTCTTAGTCTTTATCGTTCGATCCGATAATCGTTCGAAATGGATTAATATTAACTGCGACCCCCGATTTCAATGACCTTCAATGACCTTGACGTATACTGCCAATGACGCCGTAGCCAACTTGCTGACAGTTTCAACCGTCGCTCTCGGTTCATTGCGAAATTACATCACAGAATAATTCAAAATGTGCACATATGCCCGCATTAATTGCGAACTTTACATTAAAAAATGGAGGAAAATAATCGCTAGGTAGGATTACATATCTCGTTGATGTTATTCATATTTGCCATAACATTCGGAAAAGCGTCCATTCATTTATGATGATTGAACTGGCGAAATAAAAAATACGTTTTACATAATGATATTTTCAGGTTCTATATCATGAAATATTTGCACGTGTCTCACGTCAACAACGTGCGATGTATCGCGTAAATACGCGTATAAACAATACGCGCATACA